TTGGTATATAAGCTCTTGACTTGAACTAACTAATCGATTGAATTCAATCTTTTAATGTGGTTCAGCCCAAGTGTGTTATAGCTCAATCCAATTATCATTACACCATCTTAAATTCTATCAACAACAAACAGTAAGGTTTACCAAGTGAACGTGGAAACGGAAAAGGCAGAAAAGCCTTCCACGAAGTCCATAAAGATGAGGCAATGGTTGTAACAGCCTAGCTGGATGTATCAAGGCCCGTTTATTTTGTTAACAGATTTGGCAAGAAGAATAAACTCCCCCCACCATGGTGATTGCCTTGCAGAAGCCAGATACTCGCCATTCGGGTGTTTGTAGCCCCCGTCGTCCTCCCTGACGTTGAACTATCTGCTGGTGTGTGCGTTGTCCCCTTCAAAGCGTGGGGTGGCCTTAGCTACTTCACTAATATTTTTCTAACCAGCTTCAATAAGGAATTAACAATTACACTTGCATATATACATGGTTTTAAAAGGCGACCGAGGCGGTCCGCCTCGAGGCGGTAAGGCGGTTGCATTTCGCCTATGAGGCTTAAGCCTCAGTAGGGATACCTGAGTTTCCTAAGAGTCAGTGACTTTGAAGAGAATAACAGAGGTTCCAAGATTATTTGGTATTCCTCGAGTCCAACTGTAAGTAGGCAATAGTCCTAATACAACTTGATTACCAAATACAGAATGGAGAGCAATAGTTGAAATAGCATCTAAACTAGGAAGGCGATAAAAGAATTAATTAAAGGGTAACTTAGGGTCCGTTTGGAAAGGAGGGAAATGAGTAAAATGATTTTTGGATAATGAGTTCTAGAAACTGAGGTATTTTCTAAATGTCTTTTTTTTCTGGTGTTTGGCTATGAACAGAAAAAGGTCCCCCAATTTTCTCACCAAATCCACGAATTTGCTCACCAAATCCACAAATTTACTCCACCGAATCTACAAATTTTCTCCACAGCATCCTTTTGCACCAAATTGACGGTGAAGGCATCGAAGATGTTGGCAATGAATATACCAAGGATCTGTGAAGATGTTGGCGACGAAGGAGGGCAGTGATGGTGGGAAGGACCGAAGGAAGAAGGGCGGCTATGGTGGCGGGGAAGGAGGGCAGTTCGGCAATTCTACCTGGCTGGCTCTGCAGAACAGAATCCCTCTCCCGAAAAGTATTAGTCAACCGATTCCACCTGGCTGGCTCCACCAGTATGCAAAAGCAGCTTTGGTGGATGACAATTGCACACCAGTTTAAATGCCAACTTCCACACAAGCAAAACAACTCATTCAAGAACGTACTCATGAGGCCCTAGTCATGATCAGAGTCAATTGATTCAGGAGGCCCGCGTAAGCAGATAATTTAATTTAAAATCACGGTGCCTACCAAGGTAGCAGTGTAGGGATGAGAAATCGCCATGAAGTTAGCATATCTAGAGAGTACATCCACCACAACTATTAGAGTGCATCTACATCGGAAGTCCAAGAGTAAAATAATCGGTATATAAGCTCTTGACTTGAACTAACTAATTGATTGGATTAAATCTTTTAATGTGGTTCAGCCCAAGTGTCTTATAACCCAATCCAGTTGTCCATACCCATCCTATATTCTATCATGGTATCGGAGCAGGTTCTGGCCCACCCCGTTTGTCAAGGTGTCCGTCTACACGTTCATTCCTAGCAGCCCGTTAGTCTTTAACCCAGTTGTCCGTATGGAGTATCTACCTAACGGTCGGTGGCTCGTTTAACACGATTGCTCGTCTAAAAGTCCATACCCAGCAGCTCATGGTCCTTTAGGTGTTGGCGCTCAAAAAAAAGTCAAGGGAATGGGATTTCATTTGCAAGTGGTCAACCGGTTAGATTCAAAATGGCCCGATTGGTCCACTTGAGGGGGAGTGTTAGAGTGCATCCCACATCAGAAGTCCAGGAGTAAAATAATCGGTATATAAGCTCTTGACTTGAACTAACTAATCGATTGAATTTAATCTTTTAATGTGGTTCAGCCCAAGTGTGTTAAGCCCAATCCAATTATAACTACCCCATCTTAAATTCTATCAACAACAAACAGTAAGAGCTCATGGTCCTTTAGGTGTTGGCACTCAAAAAAAAGTCAAGGGAATGGGATTTCATTTGCAAGTGGTCAACCGGTTAGATTCAAAATGGCCCGGTTGTCCACTTGAGGGGGAGTGTTAGAGTGCATCCCACATCGGAAGTCCAAGTGTAAAATAGTTGGTATATAAGCTCTTGACTTGAACTAACTAATCGATTGAATTCAATCTTTTAATGTGGTTCAGCCCAAGTGTGTTATAGCTCAATCCAATTATCATTACACCATCTTAAATTCTATCAACAACAAACAGTAAGGTTTACCAAGTGAACGTGGAAACGGAAAAGGCAGAAAAGCCTTCCACGAAGTCCATAAAGATGAGGCAATGGTTGTAACAGCCTAGCTGGATGTATCAAGGCCCGTTTATTTTGTTAACAGATTTGGCAAGAAGAATAAACTCCCCCCACCATGGTGATTGCCTTGCAGAAGCCAGATACTCGCCATTCGGGTGTTTGTAGCCCCCGTCGTCCTCCCTGACGTTGAACTATCTGCTGGTGTGTGCGTTGTCCCCTTCAAAGCGTGGGGTGGCCTTAGCTACTTCACTAATATTTTTCTAACCAGCTTCAATAAGGAATTAACAATTACACTTGCATATATACATGGTTTTAAAAGGCGACCGAGGCGGTCCGCCTCGAGGCGGTAAGGCGGTTGCATTTCGCCTATGAGGCTTAAGCCTCAGTAGGGATACCTGAGTTTCCTAAGAGTCAGTGACTTTGAAGAGAATAACAGAGGTTCCAAGATTATTTGGTATTCCTCGAGTCCAACTGTAAGTAGGCAATAGTCCTAATACAACTTGATTACCAAATACAGAATGGAGAGCAATAGTTGAAATAGCATCTAAACTAGGAAGGCGATAAAAGAATTAATTAAAGGGTAACTTAGGGTCCGTTTGGAAAGGAGGGAAATGAGTAAAATGATTTTTGGATAATGAGTTCTAGAAACTGAGGTATTTTCTAAATGTCTTTTTTTTCTGGTGTTTGGCTATGAACAGAAAAAGGTCCCCCAATTTTCTCACCAAATCCACGAATTTGCTCACCAAATCCACAAATTTACTCCACCGAATCTACAAATTTTCTCCACAGCATCCTTTTGCACCAAATTGACGGTGAAGGCATCGAAGATGTTGGCAATGAATATACCAAGGATCTGTGAAGATGTTGGCGACGAAGGA